ACCATCATGTTCCTCTTTGATTCTGTACACCCATTTATTGCTCAAGGCCTTTTTCCCCGTTGGTAGCTTCGCAAGTTCCCATGTCTTGTTGGTGTTCAAGGATTTTATTTCATCTTTCATGGCGAGCTCCCACTTGCTCGCATCATCCACTCGAAGGGCCTCATCATAACTTTCTGGCTCTCCACTATCACTCAACAATAGGTAGTTGAGATGAGCTCTGGGCTGTAGTGATGGGTACTTCGGATTAGGTTTGGGGACTCTAGCTGACCGCCTCAACTCTCTGACGGGCAAAACAGGCTCTCCATCTTCATCTGCCCCCTCTGAAGTAGTCTCATCCATCAACTCTTCTTCTTCATCAGAACTAGCTTCAGGATTGCCTCCATCTGAGGCATCATCTGACTCGAAATATGTAGATTCACTCTGCATCGTGCTAGTGGGCTGAACGACATCACGGTCTTTGTAGAGAACTGGTTCGTTAAAGACCACATCCCTGCTTCTGATGATTTTCTTGTTCTGTTCATCCCAGAACTTGTAGCCAAACTCATCGCCGCCATAGCCAACAAAGAAACATTTTAAGGACTTAGGATCGAGTTTGCTTCTCGAGTGATCACTCAGATGTACATATGAAACACATCCAAATACTCTCAGGTGAGAAAGGTTTACCTGCTTTCCACTCCATACTTCTTCAGGTATTTTGTGCTCCAAAGGCACTGATGGTCCCCGGTTGATCAAGTAGGCAGCTGTGTTGACTGCTTCTGCCCAGAATTGCTTTGGAAAACCTACTTGTAACCGCATACTTCTGGCTCTCTCAGTCAAAGTTCTGTTCATCTGTTCTGCTACGCCATTCTGCTGGGGTGTACCTGGCACTGTCCTCTCTAATCTAATACCGCTGTCATAACAGAACTTCTTGAACTCTGAGTCTTCATATTCGCCACCGTTGTCAGAACGAAGCTTCTTGATCTTCAAACCGGTCTCATTCTCAACCATAGCCTTCCATCTCTTGAAGACTTCAAACACTTCTGATTTGTGTTTCATGAAATAGACCCAAGTCTTCCTCGAGTGATCATCTATGAAGGTCACAAAATATAACCTTCCGCCGGTGGATGGAACTGATGCTGGGCCCCACACATCTGTGTGAACTAACTCAAGCTTCTCTTCTTTAGGAGTTCTGCCAACCCTTTTGAAGCTTATTCTCTTTTGTTTCCCAAGAATACAACTTTCACATAAGTCAATATCAGCCGATCTCAAACCTGGTAACTTCCCATTCGAATGCATAACCTTTAGGCCTTTGCTACTCATGTGACCTAGCATCTGGTGCCACAAATTTGGGTCTTCATTACTTTCAGCCACTGCAATGGAACCTCGTGCATCTATCGTCATGTAGAGAGATCCAGTCTTCGTACCACGGGCAACAACCATGGATCCCTTTGTAACCTTCCACGTATCACATGCGAAGGTTGTTACATATCCCTCTTTCGCCAATTGTCCTATGGAAATCAATTTTTTTCTCAAGCTAGGAACATGTCTTACATCGCTCAGCTTCCATATAGACCCATTGAGCTTGATCTACACGACTCCTTTGCCAACGATATCACAGGGCTGATCATCACCAAGATAGACTTTTCCTAGGTTTCCTGAAACATAGTTCTCAAATAAATCTCTATTTGAGGTAGCATGAAACGAAGCTCCTGAATCCAGCACCCACAATTCAGTTTTGCTCTCCAACGAACAGATTAGGGCATCATCTGATTCTCCTGAGGCCATGTTCGCTTCAGTCTTGTTCTCCTTGTCCTTCTTGGGTTCTCGGCACTGATTCTCATAGTGGCCAAACTTGCCACAATTCCAGCAATCGATCTCCTTCTTACCCTTACGGTTCCTGGACTTTGACCTTCCGTTCCTCGAGTTAGGTCTTCTGCCCTCAAGATTCAACGCCGACCCTGAATTAGAAATCCCTTCCTCTTGCCTTCTAATCTCCTCAGTCATAATCATGTCCACCACCTCTGAAAACTTCAGTTTTGATTTGCCACATGATCCGCTAATCGAGATAACAGTACCCTTGCAACTGTCGGGTAATTGACCAAGTATCAAGAGGGCTTGGATTTCATCGTCAAACTGAATATTGACTGAGTTTAATTGATCCGTGATCTCGTTAAACTCGTTCAAGTATTCCTTGAATTTCTGGCTCTCGGACATCCTCAAATTAAACAACTTTTTAATGAGATGTACCTTATTCGCCGCAGAGGGTTGCTCATACATACTGGACAACGCCGCCATGAGATCCGCCGTCGTATTCTGATTCTTGATGTTGAACGCTACTGATTTAGACAAGGTCAACCTGATCGCTCCAAGGGCCTTTCGATCCAATAGCTTCCAATCCGCATCTTTTATATCCGTCGGCTTCTCTCCCAATGGTAGGTATAAATCCTTCTGATAGAGGTAGTCCTCCATCTGCATCTTCCAGAACCCGAAGTTTGTTCCATCAAACTTCTCAATCTTGGATGTTTCCTTCTCAGATCCCATTGTCTCTGACCTCAAATCGCTCGCGCCGAACCTGGTCGCTCTGATACCAATTATTGGGGATGCACAACCCCCCTGATGTGATTTGAAAATAGAGATTTAGGAGAGAAGAGAGAAAATCAAACAATCTCAAACACACAAGATTTACGTGGTTCGCTTCTCAATGTGAGAAACTACGTCCACGGCCGCCGCAGGAGAAAAATTCACTATTTTTCGTCTTAATACATCATGCCCTAATCAACCGTTTTATAGACTTAAGGGTTTAACAAGTAAATAAGGAAACAGATCAAAACAGGTTAAAAACGAATCTGGGCCAAAACCCGACTCCGGTCGACCGCAGCACCACGTGCGGTCGACCGCGACGAATCCTATTCCTGATCGAGCTCTCTGGACTTTGGGCGGTCCACCGCAGCGACATGCTCGGTCGACCGCGACGAAGACAGAACTCTGGCCTGCTCTCTGGACTTTGAGCGGTCGACCGCAGCGCCACAGACGCCTGTGCACCCAGCTGTGCACATAGGCGGTCGACCGCCGCGCCCTGCTCGGTCGACCGCGATGCAGAAAAATGCCTCCTTCGTCGTTTTGCTTGAACTTCGCCATCGTCGATCCTGTTCATCCTGTTCCAACTTTGTTCCTCTTCATTCTGAAGTGTAGGGCATGTCTGATAGTTAGGCTTCACATATCCTAACAATCTACATGCTGCTACATGTAGGTAACATGCTCATTCCGTCATGAGACATCAGATATTTATTCTCGGTAGTGAATTAGACATGAAAGGTCGTGAAGCGTTTTAATTTTTTTTTTTTTTTGATATGATGATACACAGAGCTTAAGCAACAAAAACTTTTCTTCTCACAGCATAGAAGATATATTCAAAAGATACTGGGGAGGTTCAAAATGTCAGAAGTAAATATTTAGACAGGTCCGTTTTCACCTGATTTTTATCTTTCAGTAGACCTCATACTGATGAGTTAGAAGGTGAATCAGAGAAAATAGCTTGGGTCTTCTAAAAAGTATTGTGCAAAGTTTGATGTAATTAATAGATTATGTGCACTCAAGCAGGTATTTCTCATACATTTAACATAGTCAGTAGTTGACATGTACTTAGGAAGAGACATGGGGAAGTTGTTAATTGTATATTATGATATTTTAGTTTGGAGCAATAGATGTGGGGATCATTATTTATGAAGGAGTCGATACTAGTCAAAATATAATAAAAGTCTAGATGTAATAGAATTTTCTTGTCTGGATTATAATGGAGATCAGGATAGGAGATCGTTGCTTGGGTTTCTTTCTACTTACGTACGCATGTCGTTATCTAGCCAGTTGGAAGAATAATATGCAGTCTTCAGTTGTCATATCTACCATGTAGGCGGAGTACGTACTTCGACAAAAGCAACTAATATAAGGAGGAAATCTGGTTAAATGTATTCAAAGGGTAATCTTAGCCTGCATGGAAACTAAGGTATAGTATATTGTGATCTTCAGATTGTTAATGTTTGATAAAAATATTATGGCTTTCGTGACTAGTCAAAACACAGTGATGTGAGGTATCACCTCATCTATATTGAAAAGAAAATGCTGGTGACTATTTTCTTTTGAAGAAAAAAAAAATTCTCGTGAATATTGGAACGATGGATACTCTAGCTTACACATTCACTAAGTTCCTACTTGCAAGATCGCGGATCGCTAAAACATGCTCAGCGTTACTATATGATATAACTCCAACAAGGTTGAGCAGATTATTCACTGTTTGTTAGGACTCAATCATCACTTGAGTTTTGCTGGAATTTTTTGTTTGAATCGTACTAAATGACAGGGAAAATTTGCAAAATAGACCGTTTTTATAAAGTAATTAGCGAAATAGACCACTTTTAAAAGTAATTAGCAAAATAGACCTCTTTTTGGCCAATAGGCCAAAAAGTGGTCGATTTTGAAAAAATGGTTTCAGAAAACATACGGGACTACTAGTCCCGTATGTTTAAAGCTAACTAATCTAATGATTAGTGCACTAATCATTAGATTAGTTAGCTTTAAACATACGGGACTAGTAGTTTCGTATGTTTTCTGAAGTCATTTTTTCAAAATCGACCTCTTTTGTCAAAAAGAGGTCTATTTTGCTAATTACTCTCAAAAGTGATCTATTTCGCTAATTACTTTATAAAAACGGTCTATTTTGCAAATTTTCCCTTTGGAAATTACACCCGAGTAAAGTCCTCTGTGACATCCATATAGGTATCTGGGTTGTTTTATTTTGTAGTTAAGAAGAATACTAAAGATATTTGGCTAGACGTTCTGTTACTAATTCTCTCATGTCTTCTGTCTCTGTTTCTGTGTTCTCTAAAATAATAAAATGATTTTCTGAAGTCCGAGAACATAGGCCTTGTATTGAACTCCGATTAAGTCGTTTTTCTAAGTTTTAAACTATATATTTATGCTTTTATCTCAATATTTACTTATTAGTTTTTTCGTAACATACAATGGAACACTCAAAAATTTTAAAGCAAATAAGCGTATGGCTTGAAGCTACCATTACAAACTGATAAGACTGATCATTCGACACTGTTACAAACTGATAAGGCTGATCATTCAACATGAACGATAAACCCATCAATCTTTCTCATATCCAGTCTCCTTATTCAAACTCCCAAGTACTTCACACAAAAAAGGCTGATCATTCAACATAAACTAACTATGTATGACCCCATCAAGCTTCCTCATAACCAATCTCCTTATTCAAACTCACAAGAACTTCACGCAAAGAAACACAATCACTATATTTAAACGTAGGCAGTTGGGTTGGCTAGGAGGTAAGCTTCGGTTGCCTTCATGTGGTTGGTTATTCCCTCCTTCGCCTTTGCACTCTCATCGGCGACACCGGGGAGAATCTTGTAGGATGCAGTCACCTTGACGAGGCATCCACCGTTGCTCGAGGGCTCGAACTTGAAGTGAGTGGTGGCACATTCAAACATCTTACCTAAACCTCCACCTTCCACGAGGGTCTGCTTCACCTCGAACTTGTCATGGTCTACGAAATCCAGGCGTTCCTTCACATAGCTGAAAGGTATGGCTGTACACACAACAAGGAAAAAGAACTATTAATTAGGAGTGCCTGGAGTCCGCTCAACTCAATATGTGGGTTTGATTTAACAAAATTAAAAGATGAGATCAGTCCAAATTTGAAAGAGTATGTAGTTAAATGAACTGCTACAAGATGTCATAAAAGGATTTATATTTCTAGTCACAACGTACGTAACAGGATGAATTCATTAGTCCTATCTCTTTGTAGGTCATCTTTGAGCTGTCAGCTTCTGTCCAGTACTGACCGATCCTTGCGATTAAAATATGAAAAAAACATAGGAAAGACGTAATATTGGCGTCAATATATAGGATAGAAGATGATATCTGAAAATTCTAACCAGGATTGTTGATCTTGATCTCTCGGATGGTTCCTACAGATCCATCTCCAGACACCACGGAGCCACCGGCAATAAAGTCAGGCACAATCTTAGGGCCGAGGTTGTGCCAGTCGAGCATTGCCGCCTTGAACATCCGTCCTGCGGCGACATTGACAGCGACCTCGTGGCTCCAGCTCCCTGAACTCATGTTTCCTCTCTGTTGTTATGTAGCACCGATGAGTGTTTGTTCTCCTTGTGAGTGAGCATAGAGGTAAGCAAAGGTTTACCCTTTTATAGAGTGAATTTGAGAATGGTAGGTGTCGTGGTTGCTGATATTATTTCAAAGATTGCTGATATTTCAAAGATCAACAGTGGATTTTCTAGGGTATGAAAAGTACTTCCAACTACCAAGAAAAAAAAAAATCAAAGAAATTAAAGGGGAAAAGTAAAAAAAATGTTTCATCTTTAAAATCATAAGTACCTCAACAAGTGGTGAGGAGAAAAGATTGTGCCTTTTAGACTTGAAAGCAGGCTTCTAGAATATCGTCTCAGAGGAATGAATGTAGAGACTAAGCTTACGGTCAGGTAACTTCTATTGGCCTGTACAGGTCACTTTGATTCAAGAACGTTGAATGAATGTAGAGACTAAGCTTACGGTCAAATAACTTCTATTGGCCTGTACATGTTAACTTTGGTTCAAAACGTTGTATATTCAGTTGACTGAACTAATTACCCGCATGGCCTTTTTAGGGCTAGGTTCAAAATAAAAAAGAACTTTTACTGAATTACATGGCTTAAAACACTGTCTATTGCAGTATTACTTAAACTTATTTTTTTGGGAGGAGGAATGTTTATAATTTATATCCCATTAATATTAAATATAGCTAAAAACAAATGAAAATGGACGGTTAGAAAATGGAAGTCGTGGGACGGCAACAAAGGTCAGCAAGTAATTGATGGGCCGACCGGTTAATCCTGGACTTATTTTTAATCTTATCCTTAATATTAGTGATCATGTCTTTATTTTACCTACTTCTTTGACAATTATTGTAAGCGCAACAAATGCAACTTGTAGGAGGAGGCTGCTCGAAAGAAATTCTGCCAAGTAGGCACTTGATCATTTAACCACGATGGTCTAGTCCTGAGGGAAATTTTATAGGGGTTTTTGCATACATACCTCTCAAATATTTCATATTTGTAGATTTGGCCCCCCCAAATCTTGATATTTGCAAACTTACCCCTGAATTCTTCTTATTGGGTTTTTCTACCCTTCAATTTAACAATGTTGGTTTCTAAATAGGGGAATGTTAAAAATTTCTCATAATTTTCAAAATGTTTGCAACATTAATTTCTTGTTTGGAATCTAAAATTGTTAAGTGGGAGAGGTAAAAAATTTAATGCAAGAGAATTGAGGGGAAATTTTGAAAATATTAAGATTTGTAGGATAGTTTTAAAAATATGAAAGATTTGAGGGTGTATTTATATATGCAAGAGAATTGAGGGGCAATTTTGTAAATATTAAGATTCGAAGGACAATTTTAAAAATATCAAAGATTTGAGGGGTGTTTGTATGTATATGTGCATGCAAAGAACCCCCATTTTTTTATTTAACGGCATACTTAAACTTGCAAACATCATACTCCTTTAAAAGTATGAGTTTGTGAAAAACTTTCGATAGTCAATATTACTCTTCACTATTATGAATATTTTATTTAAATCTTAATCTATCCTAATCATTATTATATCCTATCCTAATCTCATGTGAACTACCTACAACTCAATAATTAAAAAAAAGGATTAATAAAATATATGAAATAGCTTCATAGTATTAGTTTGTTAAGGAAAAGAACTGACATGCTATATATGCAGAATTACAAAATAATCCAAAAAGTTTCAAAAATTACACAAAATACCCTCAAAAATATAAAATTACATAAAATATTCTGACGTTTCAAAACTTAAAATAATAAGCATAAAATCTATAAATTAACAACAGCCTTTAACAAATTTAGAATTTGCAATTAGCACACTCAACATTTAAAAAATTATAAAAATATCCTCAAAAGTTCAAATAATAAAAAAGCACCTAAAATTTCAAAACATATAATCAGTGCATATCAAATATAGAAATTATTAACAGACTGCTGAAAATTTAAATTATACAAAAAAGCAATATAAAGTTTTAACAATTGTTAAAAAACACTTTAAAATTTTAGAGTTGCAAGAAATATCCTGATATTTAAAAACTTACCACCAACACATGAAACATAAGCATTACAAGCAACCAACTTAAAATTTAAAATTTTCAAAAAATATTCTCAAAGTTTAAAATATGCAAAACACACCCTTAAAGTTCAAAACCACAAAAAAGACTAAAATTTCAAAATTTAGCATAGAAAAGAGTAGTTGTTTGATATTCTTCCTTTAAGCTACATGATAATCACATTTTATTATAATTTTATACCCTAATTATCTATTTTATATGAATAAATATGCCATTAATAATTGTTTTTATCTTTAATTACAGGTTAGTGAAGAATAAAGCCCAAGATCTCTTATCTCAACAAAAACTCATGAATTAAATGAAGAACATAAGCAAGAGTCAAAAAGCCCAAGCCCAGAATCAAGCCGAGTAGCCTGTAGAAGCCGGAGAAAATAAAAAAAATTAAATATGAAAAAAATGTATTCAAGATAGTTGGCCGTAAAGAAACGACGATATCTCCCAATCCGGGAGGCGGAATTTAACATATAATATATAAAAATTGCTTATCTCAACGAGATGAAGTCAGAATTCTTATTAGAGCATCGATGCCAGCATCGATGTAGGCATCGATGCGGGCATCGATGCCTGTATCGATGCGAAGTCATCCAGATTTCATCTACGGCCGAAATTGCATTCTTGGGGCTCAAGTTTGATCCAAGGGCTCTCATTCACTGATGTTTACTATAAATAGGGGTTGAGAGTGAGGGGTTAGAGGTGTGAAAATTTTAGTAACTCTTTTTGGAGAGGAGGGCTACTCTTAATTGAGAAGGCCTTTAAAATTTATAACTTTTTATTACAATTAATAATAATAATTTTTTCACCACTTTAAATATTTCTTTTCTTTGTTGGATGATGAAGATGGAGATGAAGAATTATTTAGAGGTTTGAATTTCTTTTCTTTTTCTCTTTTATTTCTTTTTATTGCATATTAGTTTAGATTTATTTCTATGCTTATAATTAGATTTTATTTTCTTGTTAAATAGCCAAGAGGCTAGAACCCTCTTACCTTAGATTTATTTCATGCTTATAGATTAGATTTATTTCATGCTTATAGAGTAGATTTATTTTCTTGCATTTAATTCTTGTAATTTATTTTATAGTTTAGATTTTACAATTTATTTTGTAGTTAGATTTTAATTTCTTGCACTATTCACCTTGAGGCTAGAACCCTCTTGGGTTTAGTTTTTTTTTTGTTTATTTTTATTTTGTTTAATTCTTCTTTAGGCTAGAACCCTCTAGGGAATCACCCTTTTCTAAGAAGTGGGTTCAATTTTAGATTACCCATATCTATAATTGAATCCACCATCTTTAATTTCTTACATTTTCTTTTATTCTTGAATTTTATTTTTGATTTGTTTCTCAATTTTATTCATTCTTCTTTCTTGCCTTATTGATCACATTTATTCTCAAACACATTGATCTACACACTATCACTTTCATTATCTCTCCACAATCACATTCACTCATCACTCCTATTTGTCACGCACATAACATAAGATCCGATTTTATATTTTCTCCTACAAAAACACCTTCCTCGTGGGATCGATTTCTTTATACTATAACTTGACACGGTTGTGCACTTACAACCTTTTTCGTACATGTTTATGCCGCATCAAGTTTTTGGCGCCGTTGCCGGGGATGTTAGAAGCTTTAGAAGTTAAGGAACGAGCTCCAGCTCAAATCAATCACGTTTCTGCCAAAAGATGTCATAATTGTCAGTCTCCTACCCACGTTTTAGAGGAATGCCCTCTCCTAGGAAATAATCAACCATCAGGATAGATGAACGCTGCATTCCAGCACCCTAGAAATGATCTATTTTCTCCAACCTATAATCTAGGTTGGAGAAATCATCCTAATTTTGCATGGAATCAAAGAAATTCTCCTAGAACTCAAAACTTCACTCCCGCTTCAACCCAACAATTTCCTAGGGGAAACATAGTTCCTTTCAATTCTCATCCACAATTTCAACAACCCAATCTGCCGTATCAAAATCAGTCTCCTCTTCATCAAGTTGTAATTCAGACTTCTCACAATCCAGATCAGGATAAACGTCTTAATGTCTTGGAAAGGGGTTTGGAAATCATAATTAAGGCCTCCACTCAAACCACGAATATGTTGACTCAAACATCTAGCACTCTGAATTCCTTTATGTAATCAATCGGACAAATGCTCAATTCCAACACTCAAGCCATAGCTAGATTAGAATCCCAACTTGGTCAACTAGCTAGTGTCGTGAGTGAAAGAGAGAAAGGAAAATTTTCGAGTCAACCCGTGGTCAACCCTAAGGACACAGGATGCAGTTCATCCTATGAAGCTCAAGTAAATGCAATCCATTCACTTCGGTCAGGTAGACAGGGCGATAATCAAGTGAGAACTCCCCCAAGTCAAACTTTTGATCTAGTATAAATTTATTCTCCTTCTCCTTCTGATGAATTTATTCAACAATCACCCTCCTCAGATGACCAAGAACCTGAACCAGAACCTGAGCCTGCTTTTGATAGGTTTAGACTAGTTGCTCCTTTTCCAGATAGACTCAGGCTTAGGAAACACTCCCCTCAAGAGGAGAAGATCCTAGAAACATTCAAGCAGGTTAAGGTCAATATTCCTCTCTTAGATGTAATTGAACAAATTCCATCTTATGCTAAATTTTTAAAAGAATTATGCACTAAGAAGAGGAGAATAAATGTTCCAAAGAAAGTCTTTTTAGCCGCCAATATCAGTGAAATGCTATCAAATCCCATACCTTTGAAACGTAAAGATCCAGGTTCCCCCATCATTTCATGTATCATTGGTCATACTCACATTGATAACGCACTTTTAGACTTAGGGGCCAGTGTCAATTTGCTTACATATTCAGTCTATCAGCAATTGGGTCTAGGTGTACTGAATCCAACCAAATACACCTTACAGTTGGCTGATAGATCTGTTAAGGTCCCTATGGGTGAGTTAGAGGATGTTCTGATTAAGGTTGGAGATTTTATTTTTCCAGTAGATTTTGTAGTCTTGGAAACA